CAGTAATGTTTAAATTAAGACGAGACAATAATTAAACTGGCAAAAAAATAAAAATAAAAAAACAGATTTATGCACCTGTCAATTTTGGCTTTTAATTTCTGACTATTTGCTCTATTTGCTCACTGATGTCTCTGCATTGTGCTTTATCCATTGGGTGACAGTATGTGCATTAAAAAAAATAATTTAATAAAACATTCAATTTCCATTAACTTTTTGTATCTTGGCAATAAAACAAACAAACAAAAGGTTACATTTAATTAGAAATTACAGTCTCTATACCATCCCAATTATTCTCTCTCTCTTTTTAGATGGGATGGCAAGCTAAATCAAAGGTTACCATGGGCCAGTTTTGGTTTGCAGGCCCTAGTTTGGGCTTGTTGTCTAATGTAAGGAAAATATTTAGTACAGTGTTTTGCATTTTATCAGGTTGTATCTGTGTTTTGCATATTATCAGCTTTTCATTTCTGTCTATTTGCTCACTGATGTCTCTGCATTGTGTTCTATCCATTTGGTGACAGTATGTGTATAAAAAAAAAAATCATTTAAATGAAACATCCAATTTCCATTACCTTTTGGATCTTGGCAATAAAACAAACAAACAAAAGGTTTCATTTAATTAGAAATTACAGTCTCTAAACCGTCCCCATTATTCTTCCTCTCTTTTAAGATGGGATGGCGGGCTAAATCAAAGGTTAGCATGGGCCAGTTTTGGATCCCAGGCTCTAGTTTGGACATGTCGTCTAATGTGAGGAAAATATTCAGCACAGTGTTTTGCATTTTATCAGGTTGAATCTGTAGATTTCACTTACAATGTTAATAAAGGCTGTTTTCTCATTTACTGAGTCAGAAAGTATCTAAGCAAATAGTGTGCAATTAACGTTGTCTCGTTTTCAAAATTAAACAGCAATTTAGAAAAGTTGTAATACAGAAATCTATAAATTCAAACAGTCAACTGCTGGGAAAGTATGATTATAACTATTAGCATTTTTTGTTGTTGCCCTATTTACATGCACTGTCTTGCCTTAAAAGTAATTATGAGTGTGTTTATATAACTTATAATTAAGTATAAACAACGTCAACATAACAAGTCAAATCCATAAATAAATATCAGTCCTGACCTTAATCAATAGAGGACGATGAAGCATCGAGTCTCTCACCACACCAATACGAGGACTTTCCATCTCTGATTCCTTGACTCCTATAATAAAACAACATTATAGTTTAAAAACGACTTTATGATTTTTTTTTAAATAAAAAAAAACATGAAATATATGTTCTATAACATTTTTCATGTTCATTGTTTTTTTAAAGAATCTCTTCAACCTGTAACGTAGACGACACCTTGAAAAACTCGGTTCACCGACGCTTTTGTGACTAAACAAATCTTGCTGTTTTAAGTTCAAAAGCACTAAAACACGATTTATTAAGAGCAGTTTCGACGATTTACAGGCCGCGAGACAACACGTTCTTTTGCTTGCCTGGCGTTGCCATGGAGATGGGACGCTTCTGCAACAAGTACGGGGATCGATGCAGGAATGTTCATTTGAAATGTATTCGTCAAATTTTGGTAGTTGTAGTCGTGAATATACTTAATTTGGGAAATTAAAAACGATTTATGCATAAAACTACAAGCTCTTACGTGTTAATTGGTCGTGGTCGCCTTCCACTGCGACAGAGGGCAGCATCGATGCAGAGACTCGTTCCAAAGGCGAGAGAACACAAGAGAATAACCTGAGTTTTTTATTTTTTTAAGTTCCCAGGTTCTGTTGGCTGCAATCTCCGTATTTTCCTTGCCAATCTTAAACCAACTGACATATGTTGTTTTGGTTCCAATTTCCCCAGCCGTGCAGAGAGAATAACCTGAGGTGTTTTCATTCTGTAGTAGATGAAGTCAGAATTATTAGCCCTCCTGATTTATTAGCCCCTCTGTTTATTTTTCCCCCAATTTCTGTTTTAGGCAGAGAAGATTTTTTCAACACATTTCTAAACATAATAGTTTTAATAACTCATCTCTAATAACTGATTTATTTTATCTCTGCTATGATGACAGTAAATAATATTTGACTAGATATTTTTCAAGACACCTACACAGCTTAAAGTGACATTTAAAGGCTTAACTAGGTTAATTAGGTTAACTTGGCAGGTTAGGGTAATTAGGCAAGTTATTGTATAATGATGGTTTGTTCTATAGACTATCAAAAAAAATTTGCCTAAAGGGGCTAATAATTTCAACCTTAAAATGGGTTTTAAAAAATTAAAACTGTTTTTATTCGTTTTTTTAAATATTGCATACAAAATATCAGATTAACTCATTTATTTTCAAATATGTTGATATTCCAGTAATTGTATATTTTGTGGTAAGGATGATGAAACTTTAATACACTTATTTTGTATGTGTGCATTTTTTCAGACGTTTTGTTTCGACTTGTACACTATCATTATTTAAACACCCCTCCTACCTTTGCACAATCGTTTATTTTAAAAGAAATTATTTGATATTACCAAGAATCTGCATAAATCTAAAGAATTTATCTTCAACTTTTATTATTTTGTTTTAAAGTTTTTTTATACATAAATCAGTCCCTACTTTTTGACATTTTCTGACTGAAGTTGACTCAATGCACACATCTTTCCGTATGTGTACGGATTTTGGGTACTATATGAAAAACTGTTGTCTATTGACTCTGATTTGAGTTAGATCCCTTTCTTGCAGTGCTCTTAATTTATTTATTTTCATACGCTTTTGTGCAGTTGCAATTTACTTCCTCTTTTCTTTTTGTTAGTCCTTTTTCTCTTTGCAGTTAATGTAACTTGTATTTTTCCTCTCTTACAGTATATCTCTCCTTTATTGATCTCCTGATTGTGGTTGTATATTTTGAATCATGAATTTAAAAAAAAAGTACAAATCATTTTACAGTCTATGGTGCAAAGGAAGGGCGAGGCAGTGGCGCAGTAGGTAGTGCTGTCGCCTCACAGCAAGAAGGTCGCTTGGTCGCTGGCGTTTCTGTGTGGAGTTCGCATGTTCCCCCTGCCTTCGCGTGGGTTTCCTTCGGGTTTTTCCGTGTCCCCCACAGTCCAAAGACATGTGGTACAGGTGAATTGGGTAGACTAAATTGTCCGTAGTGTATGAGTGTGTGTGTGAATGTGTGTGGATGTTTCCCAGTGGTGGGTTGCGGCTGGAAATTCTCCCCCTGCGTAAAAACTTGCTGGATAAGTTGGCGACCCCGGATTAATAAAGGGACTAAGCCGACAAGAAAATGAATGAATGAATGGTACAAAGAATACTCTTAGACCAGGGGTGTCCAAACTTAGTCCACGGAGGCCCGGTGTCCTGCAGATTTTAGCTCCAACTTGCCTCAACACACCTGCAAGAGTGTTTCTAGAAAGCCTAGTAAGAGCTTGATTGATAGGCTATAATCAAAGCAAAATCTAGCTTTATATTTAAACAGTAGAAAACTAGGGACAGTGGTGCAGTGGGTAGTACATTAGCCTCATAGCAAAAAGGTCGCTGGTTCGAGCCTTGGCTGGGTCATTTGGCATTTCTGTGAGGAGTTTGAATGTTCTCCCCATGTTCAAGTGGGTTTCCTGCTCTGGTTTCCCCCACAAGTCCAAAGACATGCGGTACAGGTGAATTGGGTTGGCTAAATTGTCCATATGTGTGTGAATGTAAGAGTGTATGGGTGTTTCCCAGTGATGGGTTGAAGCTGGAAGGGCATCCTCGGCGTAACTGTGATTAATAAAGGGATTAAGTCTAAAAGAAAATGAATGAATTAATGAAACACAGGAAAACCTCTGACACAGTCAGAATTCATTTGAAATGTACTAAGTAAAAAAAAACAACCTATAACACCAGTTATAGTGTTGTATGTAGCAAATCCTTTCATCCAAACTTAAGTTCATATAGTGCCAACATTAAACAACTGACAGTAAACTATGGCAGATTTATTAGATGGCTAAATTATAAAACAAGCAGAAGATTTTTATTTTAATGGAATTTGTATTTATTATTACAGTAAACATTTTTCCAAACCATGCTTCGTTTCAGTAAAAGAGTGCATAATGTGCTTTAAGATAGTTGTTTGACAGAGGTGACTCATTTGCCAGGGGGTAGATTGGTGCATTAAAGGGGAATTTTGAAAAATGAATGTTTGACCAGTTGTAAAAAAAACAACAAAGTCTCTCCTGTTTAGTGACTTGAGCTGGGGATTGGCAGCATGTAGTGAGTTGAGCTTCCAGCAGTGGTTCTGAAAGCCAGTATTCAATAAAGCCACAGATGTGGTCATTAGAGTTAGATCAGGAGGAGTGACGTGAGTTGGTTTTGACTTATTGAAGATGTACTGCTGTGTTCTGGATCATCTGCAAAGCCTTGGTTGTGTTTGTTGGAGGACCCACTATTGAAGCATTGCAGTAGTCTTGTCTTAATATTTCAAGTGTTTTGATGAATGACTGTACTGTGTATTCAAACTGGAAGGGTACGAATTGTGCCAAAGCTACATGACCAGGGCACCAGACCATAGAATGTGAGTGGATAAGCTCAGCTGGTCATCAGACTCTACCCTAAGGTTCCTTATTGTCCTAACTGGTGAGCATGCAATGTTGTGGTCAACTGATGGGTTTGCAGGGATTACAAGATTTTTTTTAAGGCTGTAGATACTCCATCATCAAATCAGTTTTGTAATTTATGTCTCTCGACCAGAAAGTATGGTCATGGGGTTTAAATGAAAGATAGTGCCTATATCCTTGCAATAGTAGATTCTAGTGTGATATAGAGACCACACTGAGGTTGAGTAAATGGAGAAATTGATCCTTAAGGCATCTAGTTTGCAGATTTTTTACAAAAAGCTCTTTATTGACTGTTTATAAAGGAAGCAATGTGGGAGATTTGGGGCTTTTTTATGCAAGAGTCTCATAAACTTTCCTACTTGTTTACCTCCTTTGCACATAAAACTGCAAGTAAAAATGTATGCATAGTGACCTCTAGTGGACAGTTTAAACTGACGTGCACCTTCTCAGATGCTGCGTCATCATTTGAGCGATCTAAATTCACACGGCCGACCAAATATAGCCTACATGTTGTCCTGTGGGGTTGTTTAAAGGTTCTATCTTGTCCATCTAGTTCCATTTAATCCATCTGGTTTTATAGGTACAAGCAAACGACAGCTTTTTATTAAGAATTGCAAGGGTTGCCCAGTCATTTTATTAACGGGAAAATCATTGAACGAGACATTTAGGATTAATTTGGCAAGGATAGCAAAAGGGGAGCTGTTTTTGTGCTCTGTTTCTTGTGCTGCATTCATCGCTTGACTGCGGTGGAGCTGCGGCTTCATCAGCATCAGCATCTCCATCGACTCGCGTCCTTCAGCAGGACCAGCGTGCCTTTACTTGCAGACGAGGAAACAGCCCGAATTTGTCTTAAAGGTAACAGAAAATGTCGTCTTTTAGCTAGCCTTAATTACCGCCTGTTTTGCATGTGCTCAGGTGCGATTATTTATGTAAGGGAAAAATTCCTGTTTGAATGACTTAAAGTCTCCTTGAACAGATATGGGATGGGTCGGTCTGCGGTATGCGGTAATTTAGTTGCCTACTTTTCGTTTTAACCCAACCGAGTCTGGTATGTATGGTATGGGTATCTATATACCCATATGCTAAATATAATTAGTTTAGTAAATTGTAATGGTTCGATTTCGGACACTGAGCAATAAGACCGTCACCTAAAACAGTGGGCCACATAATGACCTTTGTTTTTAAGCAGGACAGTTATTTGATGTTTTGGATCTCATACATGCTTTTGTAAAATTAAGTCTAACATCTTTAATGTTTTTCTCTACAGTTGCTCAGAGGCAGACATTTAATTTCGACCCTGCTAAGAAGAGGCAATGAAGTCTTGTCCGTCACTGGCAACTTGTTTTGTGTTATGTAAGTAATGTCCCTTTTAAAAATTGGATTGTATGAGGCCCATTTTTAAAGGAATAGTTCACCAAAAAAAAAAAAAACATTTTAAGTCAGTGAGTGTCAGATACCATGCATTTTATTTAAAAAAAACTCACTTTACAAGTGAAGTGTAAGTAAATGATGAAAGACTACTCTAATCTATTCATTCATTCATTTACCTTCAGCTAAAGCCCTTTATTCTTCAAGGGTCACCACAGCGGAATGAACCACCAACTTATCCAGCATATGTTTTACACAGCAGATGCCCTTCCAGAAACAACCCAGTACTGGAAAAACAATACACTCTCCCATTTACACACATACACTACAGACAATTTAGTTTATTCAATTCACCTATGCCTCGTGTGTTTGGACAGTGGGGGAAACCGGAGCACCCGGAGGAGAACATGCAAACTCCTCACAAGAAATATCAACTGACCCAGCTGTGACTCGAACCAGCAACCTTACTGCAGTCCTAACCACTAAGCCATCGTGGTGCTATTCTAATCTATTTTAAAATGTAAAATAATTGACAGCTATTACTTTAAAAATATCAATTTTATTTACTTATATTCAGTTATTTTATTGTTTTAGATTTTATATTTAACAGCTGAAACTGCTGGAGCTTTTAAAAAAAGCACAGCATACTGCAGTGCAATTTACAGTATATCTAAAGTGTAAATAAATAATAGACTTCATATTTTTATAAAAGAATCTTTCATAAGAGTGAAACAAGCCATTGGTTTCACTTCCGTCACTGATATTTGTAGATCCAGAACATATTTGATTAAAGCTGTGGTGTAGGCTGCCCACCCATTCTCAACTCAGTTGGTTTGTGATGTCAACATCATGTGATGAAGAGAATTAGTTGTAGAGTCAAAACAATTCTAGCATGACATTTGCTTTATAGCAAAAAAAAAAAAAAAAAGAACTATAGTCAAATATGAACAGTCATATTTAATTTTAGGTAATATAAATATTTTTGTATAATACAATATGCACAATACAATTTTGTTATTTCACTGGATGAAAAAAATGTAGATGGCAAATATGACATGTATGTGAAATCCAACACTGAACTTGTGTCAGATTTTCATATATTACCATACATCAGAATTCAATATTGGGCTGTTATAATCACTAAAGCTGTGAAAATTGAAACCAAAAACAAGCAATCAGTTCTGTAAAGTAAATATATATATATAAGACACCAGCATTTCAAGCGTGCATTTTAAATGCTGTTGAGTGGACTCTTAAACACAGCTGACTGGCAATTGTGTCTACATACTTAACATGTATAACTGTGATTCGCTACAATCACTGCAGGTTGAAAGTTGTGTCTATCAGCTGATCTGTCAGCCCATCTCTCATACATCTGCTCATAGACGGGTCCTCAGATATAAACAGCTTTCAAACAAACCATTGACTGTGTATCAGTGTAATCTCACAAGAGTGTTCAAATGATGATCACTGGAGCCAGTCACTGTCATGTCTGTTGAGCACACAAACATGTGGACATAATTAAATGTTCAATACCAATTAATACTGAAGTCAGTACTTTTGAAAAAAAAAAGGGCCATCTGACCAGTCAGTGCATGGTGCGCTTTCTGAAAAGAGGGGTTTATGAAAAGCAAATTTTCAAACAAATAGTTTGAGACTCTGTTGTTGTTGTTATTTTTATTTATTTATTTTTTTGTTACAGAAAATGTTATATTGGTATATATTATATTTGTAACTGACTCTTAAATATAAGTCAGGTCTGTGTTTTGTTCCTTCTGATTATTTTCTCTTTGTACTCTATGTGAGGAGAATAATGACACCTTGTTGTACCCACTTCACTGATATTTAACTCGACATGAATGAACAAGTTAGGGTTATGCAGAGGTATGTTCACATGATTTTGCATAGATATAGAACAGGTTGCGGAGCTTGTTACATAGCAGCAATAAACAAAAAAGGGAAAGTGCTTTGCGTGGTGAAAGGCTGAGTTTAAGAGCTTGATGGCCTGAGGGAAGAAGCTCCACAAAAGTCTATTACTATTGACCATCAGACTACGCTCATGCCAGATAGCAGGAGGGTGAATAGAGAATTGCCAGGATGGTTGATGCTTTTTTGGGCTCTGTTGGTGCAGAAATATGAGAAAATGAAAGTGTTTTGGGTGACACGGTGGCTCAGTGGTTAGCACTGTCACCTCACAGCAAGAAGGTCACTGGTTTGAGTCCCAGCTGGGTCAGTTGGCATTTCTGTGTAGAGTTTGCATGTTCTCCTCGTTTTCATGTGGTTTTCCTTTGGCTGCTCTGGTTTCCCTTGCAGTCCAAAGACATGCGCTATAGGTGAATTAAATAAACTAAATTGGCCGTAGTGTATGTGTGTAAATGAGGGTGTATGGATGTTTCCCAGTACTAGGTTGCAGCTGGAAGGGCATCTGCTGCGTGAAACATATACTGGATAAGTTGGCAGTTTATTCCGCTGGGGCGAGCCCTGATAAATAAAGAGACTAAGTCGAAGGAAAATGAACGAATAAATAAAATTGTTTTTATTGTACACATGTAAAATGGACACATGTAATTGTAGCTATAAGCTACATAAACTAAACTAGAAACCTTTAGTTTTTTTTTTTTTTTTTTTTTAGAAAGCTCACATTCAGACTTTTTAATTTAAAAGAAATCAGTTTGAATGTTTGGGTGGATATAGAACTAAAGATTTGTTTCCACTTAATTTTTTTTGGAAATCAAGCTTTCAAATCAAATGTCAAAATACTCTGTATTGGCATCATGATTTTTTTCAATCAAACATGGACACAATTAACACCATCATCTATAAGACGTTTTTATACTCGAAGAACAGCCAAGTTGCAGTGGGAATTAAAGATAACTGATCCAAACATCCCAAGGTAGTAAAATGTAACACAATACTGGGCAACAAATCAAGCCCATTTCCGCTTCCTGATATCTGCTCTTGCAAAAATATTTTCCATGGAATGCTGTTTTAAAGCATGTCAAAATCTACTTCGGTCAGACTCTCTGAATTTTGACTATAAAAATCTGAAAATGGAATCACAAATTAAGCTTTATGGAGCAATTGTTGTTGTTTTTTTTTTACCAATGAAAGTGTTTATAATGCTGTAAACAAAACAAAAGTGTTGTATATATCACTTTTACATTGCCAACTTATGAATTTCTTTAGATGTAACCTATAAACAAGACATTTTAAGGTGTATTATATTGTTGACTTGTTTTTATATGAAACATATAGGATGTATTTGCTAGGCAAATCAAAAAGATGTGACATTTACCTATGCTTCCGAGAATCTCATGATCAGTTACTTTCCTAAATGTAGCTTTCTTACCACTGTCATTTTTGTTGTGCTTATTTTGGTATTAAGAGGAAAGCATGCAAGTTTCATCCTTAAATGGAAGTTATTTTTGGATTTTTGTTATCAGTATTTCATTGGAACCTTTCTATGAGTATATCTAGGTATTTTATCACGTTCAGTCTCTTGTACATTACGTTTGCATGAATGCGGTTTTGTTCACTTTGGTGTCATTAAATACTTGTATTTTTACACTCGTATATTGACTTTTTAAAGCATTTTTGATGCCATTTGCACAACAGGCTTCCATTTTTTCCTGATCTAAAATATAGTATATCTAGGTATCAGGGTTTTTCCAGGCTCAAAATGAGGTGGAGGTGGTATTTTTGCTACCTGAAATCAACTCATTTTGCAGTATTCTTGTGACCTTATCAAGTAAAACTATAATCTAATTTACAAAGTCTAACATTAAATATAATAAAAACATGACCAGGGGTTGACAATCACTTGAGGTCATCAGCAACCATGACGGCCTGCCTGATTATTGGCAAAAGATGGAGGTGGTACAAAATCTGATGGAGTTTGCCACCTTGCAATTCTCTATATTTAAGGAAAAAACCTGGTGATGCAAAGGAACATACAGTGCATCTAGAAAGTATTCATAGACATTGTTTTATGTTACAGCCTTATTGCAAAATGGATTGGACAAATTTATTTAAAATTGTTGCAAATTTATTAAAAATAAAAAACCTGAAAAATCACACAGCCTTTTCCGTGAAGCTCTACATTGAGTACATTATGTTTCCACTTATTATTCTTGAGATGTTTCAGCATCTTAATTGGAATTCATCTGTGGTAAATTCAGCTGATTGGACATGATTTGAAAAGGCATACACCTGTCTAAGGTCCCATGGTTGACAGTGCATGTCAAAGCACAAACCAAGCATGAAGACAAAGGAATTGTCTGTAGACCTCAGAGACAGGATTGTCTTGAGATACAAGGCTTAGGAAGGTTACAGAAAAAATTCTGCTGCTCTGAAAGTTCCAATGAGCACAATGGCCTCCATCATCCATAAGTGGAAGATGTTTGGAACCACCAGGACTCTTCCTAGAGCTGGCCGGCCATCTAAGCTGAATCGGGGGAGAAGGTCCTTAGTCAGGGATGTAATCAATAACCCGATGTTCACTCTGTCTGAGCTCCAGCATTCTACTGTAAAGAGGAGAACCTTACAGAAGGACGACCACCTGTGCAGCAATCCACCAATCAGGCCGGTATGGTAGAGTGGCCAGACGGAAGACACTCCCAGCCTAGAATTTGTCAAAAGGCATCTGAAGGACAACAAACAAAATTCTCTGATCTGATGGGACCACAATTAAACTCTTTGGAGTGCATGCCAGGCATTACGTTTGGAGAAAACCAGGCATCGCTCATCACCAGGCTAATACCATCTCTCCAGTGAAGCATGGTGGTGGCAGCATCATGCTGTGGGGATGTTTTTTACCAGCAGGAACTGGAAGACTAGTCAGGATAGAGGGAAAGATGAATGCAGCAATGTACAGAGACATCCTGAATGAAAACTTGCTTCAGAGTGCTCTTGACCTCATACTGGGGTGACGGTTCATCTTCCAGCAGGACAATGACCCTAAGCACACCCTAAAATATCAGAGGAGTGGCTTTACAACAACTCTGTAAATGTCCTTGAGTGGCCCAGCCAGAGCCCAGACCTAAATCCTAATGAACATCTCTGAAAAGATCTGAAAATGGCTGCACACTATCGCTTTCTTCCAACCTGATCTTGACAGGTACTGCGAAGAGGAATGAACAAATATTCTCAAAGACAGGTGTGCCAAGCTTGTGGCATTATATTCAAAAAGACTTGAGGCTGTAATTGCTGCCAAAAGTGCATCAGCAAAGTATTGAGTGAAGGCTGCGAATACTGATGTACATGTGATTTTTCAGGTATTAAATTTGCAAAAATTAAAAAAAATATATATTTACATTGTTATTATGGGGTATTATGTGTAGAATTTTAAGGAAATAAATTAATTTAATCCATTTTGGAATACGGCTGTAACATTAAAAATAATGTGTAAAAAGTGAAGCGCTATGAATATTTTCCAGATGCACTGTAATGTTTCTATTAAAACAACAAATTGTTTATCTCATTCTCACAAATATCAGCTGTTCCCTAAACATTAACAAAAGCCCAAATCACATTTTTGTGTTTGTCTCCCAGCAGCTTATCTGTCATGTATGGTGGGTGTAGTCAGCGCAACAAACCCTTACCTAAAACCTGGCTTTTTGGATTTTAACTCCTGGTTTTGGAACACCCCTCGAGGGCCACAGATGTTCTCCTGCCTTACATACATTGAGAAAAACCTCCAGGTTGACTGTGAATTCCCTGAGACCCACAAGATCCCAGGCCCATTCTGCGAGTTCAGACAGGATGGGCGACTCATGGGATCCACCTACCCAAATACTCCAGTCCAATTGATTCCTCATATTGAGGTCAGACGCCGTGCTAATGTCTCCCTGGTGTCGCCGAACATTTGTCGCCTCACCTGGATGCCAATGTCAGATGACCGCGCGTACACTTACACGTGCAGGGTGTACCAGGGCAGCACCTGGAAGGAGAACAGCATGGCATTCCACCAAAGTGAGTCTAACATGTCTCAGCAAGACTATTACCATATGCTGGAAGCCAACAAATATTTCCTGGGTGTTTAGTTTGAGATGAAATGTGTTGTCATATTTTCTTCTTTCCAAATTTGTGAGCTTTCACAATATGCTTTCTCAACTAGTGCTCTGTTGCTCATTATGTTACTTCTGTGTTTCAAACAGGAAATGTTCTGGTGTGCTCTGCATTGAGCGTATTCTTCCACACTGGACCGTGGATGTTTGCAGTTATGATATCACTTCCCATCTCTCTCGGGCTTCTGTCTGTTTGACTTCACTTCATCAAGCAGGCCAAAAGTCAAAGTCATTATCACATTTAACCACTTTTGGTATTTTAACTTCCGTGACTTTTTTGTTTGTTTTACAACCCCACTTAAAATGTATATGGTGATCGCCCATCGTTACTGTATCAATATTCACTGTGAAATGGAATGCATCTGTCCCAAGCAAGTATACACTTTTAAAACAATGGTCACAAACTAAGATGTTGTATAAATTTTTACATTGCCATTCAAAACCTTGGGGTCAGTATGGTTATTTGTTTAACAGAAATAAATTAATAATTTACTCAGCAAATTCAGCAAGGATGACATGTTTAAAGATAAGATCTATATATATATATATATATATATATCTTTACTTTGGATAGGACAGTGAAGATTAAAAACAGGAAATTCCGATTTCCAATTCCCAAGCTGTGAATACAACTCGAGTTGCAGTGAACAGCATGTTATTATATATCAGCGCACTTAACCACTAGGTTTTGGTGCTGACAAGATATTAAACTTATAATATCTTAAGTATATTAAAGTATAAAAGTATATATTAAAGTATAAAGTTATGAAGAATTTCTTTTTTAAAGGACGGGGAAATTCAGCTTTGCTGTCCCATATTCAAATATAAAATAATGTACTGTATAAATGTCCTGTATACATTTTTGTCCCCTAAAGGTTTATGATTTATTTCATGGGTTAAAAAAGACTTGAGCAGTTGTAGAGCGAACGTTCTAATGCCGAGCTGCTGAAAGCAACAACAAATTAAACAACAAATTAAACACAATAAGCACTATCATCATAAAAACACACAGAAAATGATGCCACTCCAGCTGAAACTCAGTTAAAATTACATTTATAATTTCTTTTAAAAATCAGTTTTCAAATCATACTTTTTTCTTCATGAATGTCTGATCTTTATTAATCTGATATTGTATAAAAAACATCACACCAGCTTGATCTTCAAGTTCATTCATTTTATCTTAGCTTATTTATCAGGGGTCCCCACAATGGAATGAACCGCCAACTATTCTATCATATGTTTAGCCAGTGGATGCCCTTCCAGCTGCAACCTAGTACTGGAAAGTTCTTTAAATTTGCTTTTAGCTGTTGATGCCTTAAATCTTAAATTTGTTTAAAATTTGTGGGGGCTCGTCCGGGATCACAGTACATTTGAAGTATTATCATAATATCTTCTTTGCTTTTACCAATATTACCGACCCCAAACCTTTGAAATGTAATGTATTAATATACAATAGTTTAATCAAAACATTTCCAGTCAAAATGATTTTTTTTTTGTGTGTGTAATGAAGTAATCATTTATAGTCAGATGAATGTAGCATGATTGTCAATTGCATTGAGATCAGATTAAAATTTTGCATAAATGTATCCACTGTAGCTTGAGACGATCAGCCATTCAGCATATCACCTACAGTATTCTCTGTTATAACAAATATACATTATTATTTTAATATATGGCATAGGATCTTTATATTCAACTATGCGCTTCCTTCAAAACAAGTCATAGTAGCTCAAAAAGATGTTATACTTTTTATTCCTGACATTTTTGTAATCTTTATAGAAACAACTGAGTGAAATCCGTAATCTGTAATCTCATTGGTCAGTTGGCTGGTTTATTGATCCTTGCAATTTGTCCAGTACAAAATGCATTGCACTACCTGATCATTGCCTGTTTATCACCTTTATAAGGACAACTCTGTTTGAAGGACATCACCACTGATGACATATTAAATTCCAACGCTCACACATGATGCAACTGAATATCCTGTACAACAGCTGAAGGACTTTTTTCAGTAACGTTTCAAGGAGAAGAACGACACAGACCTAGAACAGTACACAAGTGCATAAGAATCTAGTCTAGCTCAATAACTATTCTGATGTACACTTACATATATTTATATGTGTCTTCCATTATGCTTGCATGCACAGTACAGATGCTGTAAGTACACATTTAATTGCACTGTACTGTTTAGCTGCTCTTGCACATGCTTTTTTGCACCAACTTTAAGTGCCTTAAGTTGACTTAAGGTATAATCTGTGCTTTTGCAATGTAGTGCTTTGTTTCATTTTTGACCATAGTGACTCACAAAGACTGCGTAGCAATATGTTCAAGCACTAACACGCACATTTCACACACTAATTGTCTTTGTACTCTCTTCTTTTACTGTATCTTTCCATCACTTTGTCTTATCATTTAAAGGATCTACTGAGAAATGTCACAGAAAACAATAAAGGAATGTAGAGTGTAACCTGTGCAGATCTTTTTACTTATAGCAACACAGATTTGAGATTATTTGTTTGAATCAGTTACAGTTATTCTTGAATAGATAAAATAGATAAAAACAGAGATTATGCATGTCTCAAGTGTGCTTTATAGGACTTCTTGGAGTTTTCAATGCTGAGAGCCTCAAATATGATGACTTTCTTAAACGGATCAGCAATCTCAGTCCTGGAGAGCCTGTGTACTTGCAGAGTTTAGCTCCTAACGAACAATGAAAAATTAATAAAGTGTAAAGCATGTTCATTTATTTGTAATCTGTGCAAGGTATATCAAATAATTTGCTTTTAAGCTCTATAAATAATTAAAAAGATGACTTGCACAAAAAAGTATTACAAAGGCCTATTAAAGGGACAGATCACCAAACTGAAAATTATGCCATTATTTACCAACTCTTAACTTGCTCCAAACCTGTGTGAGTTTCTTCTGTTTAACACAAAAGAAGATATTTTAAACAAAGCTTGAAACCTGTAACCACTGACTTCCTCTTTGTTTTTCCTACTATGGCAGTCAATGGTTAAAGGTTTTCAGGTTTCTTCAAAATATCTTCATATTGTGTTCATCAGAATAAAGAAACGTGAAAAGGTTTGGAACCACTGGACGGGGAGTAAATTGTGAGTATTTTTATCAAACTGTCCTTTAATTGTTAAACTTCATCCCAAAATGAAAATTAAGCCATAATTTCCTTAACCTCAAGCTATGTGTACAGTACACACCTTCACAATTGAGGCTGTATTAAATAATATCCTGCCTCTTCCCAACTTGTGAATGACAGTGAATGATACAAATGATTTTGAAACTCTTAAAAGCACAACCAGTCATCCTATAAGTAATCTGACTTAAGTGGGTTAATGAATGCTTTCGTAAAGCGATTAGATTTCCCAGAAAAAAAATACATATAAAACTTTCTAACCTGTAGTGAGGAGAAAGACCAAGGACATTATTTAATAACATGTATATTCTGTTTTGTCCAAGAAGAAAATCATACATGACTTGGGAGAGATTGTGTTGGCTTGGTGTTTAGTTGAAATATTCCTTTAAATTCATGCTTGTAAACAACATCAATAATGTAGACAACATTATAATCAAACGGATGGCTTTTAACGTATTTTTATTCATTTGAACTACTTCAGTAACCCAGTCCAAAACCTTGTAATACTTTTTTCAAGTGAACAGTAAAAAAGTGAGGCTTATTTAAAGCGTGTGGCGATTTTTTTTAAACAAAGTTGCTCAACAAAGAAGCCCGGGTTATTTTCTAATTGCTATCTTGTTGATTTCTTGAATTGTAACTCGTACACAAGTTTCAGCTGGTCGTAATGGGCAGGTCGTCGTCATTTTTTCTAATGACAAGGCGTGATGTAGCTTAAGTGGGCGTGCAGCCTCCCCTTACTTAATCTCTGCCTTCCTGAAGGGATCACTACTGAGGGTATTGTGTCTATAACGCAACATCTCTAGCATTCTTGAGCAAAGAAGGATAAGGTAAGAACTGCATGTCTAATTAGCTTTCTTTTGTAACGTGTATTGACATCAATCTCAAAGACGCCACTAAAACTGGTACGTGTAGCGATCAAACACAATAAATGTGTTTGCTATCTTGACTTCTGTTCCTAACGCCAGAAAATGCATTTTATGTTGAAACGATACACTTTATTGCTTTAAATGAAAGAGGAAAGACGTGTTTAAATGGGTCTCTAGGGCTTTTTAACTACTTTTAGATTACTGCAGAAGCGCGAGGCATTTTTTTCCCCAAAGGTTTCAGAAGAATCACAAGTTCAGTTTTAAGAAAAGATTCGTATGTAGGGGAGTTCTTCGGGCATCAATGTTATCATTAACCTTAAGTCAAGGGGTCAAGTCATTAAGGTGGGGTCCATGCATAATGTGCGTTAATTGTGTATTTAAATGTATTAGTAGCCTACTTGTGTAGAAATGGATATGGAATTTGTTAAAATACAGATTTTGTTTGTTTGCTTGTCATGACCACACCCATATTTGCCACATAACTATGGCAGTATGGACCCTGCCAGGAATAACTTTTTATCCCCTTTTAAACTTCGCACATGCATCTAATTTGCTTTAAGCCCTGTAACCACAAATCTCCTAAGCTTTCTGTACATTATGCAGTATTGACGTAATCGGTTCAATTATTGTGTATTGCCTAACATGTCATCTTTTGGCTTCAGGTTTTGCTGTGCACCGTGATCAGGATGTTGTGCTACACCGCCTTTGCCACTCTCTTTTTACTTGGTAAATTTCAATAAAGGATTATTATTATTATTTGAGTGTCTGTTTTGTACCAGTATTCCTAAAAGGTTACACCTCAAAACTAAGCTGTGTTATGATTGTTTTTTTTTTTTTTTTTTTTTTAGGTGTTGTTACTGCCCAGACATCCCTTAGGATTACATCCTGCTTGACTAAAGACCAAAACCTTCAAATGTCCTGCACCTTCACTCCAGCTCCAGACACCAAGCTCTCAAAAACATGCTACTACATGACTGACAATAAATTGATTGGCAGTACCAACAGCAGCAGCACACCAGACAGCACGTTCAGGAACCGTGCCAATGTCACCATTACTGATAACAAGTGTGACCTGTATTTGAAGGGTTTACCAGATAGCAAACCTGCAAACTACACTTGCTTTATCAGACAGACTGCCGCACCAGTGTCAATCATTCAAACTGTGGACAAGAGTAAGAGCAAACTCTAACTTGGTGTCTTTCATTATTATTATTATTTGTATTTTAGTGTGTAACTTCCATAAATGCTAAATATCATAATTACTTGGAACTGACAAGCAAGTTCCTCTGTTGCATGGAAATGAATGTGACTGGCAGATGGTGATCAGGCTGATGTTCTTCTTTTTACTTCCTCCCAGGTAAGCTTCAGACCTGTTCAGCGTGGAGTGTTTTGCAACACAGTGGAGTAGCGTTCCTGTTGGCCTTCCTCACTTTCCCACTGTTGTCAGAGCTTCTGTGAGCATGAATTGGATCTCCTGAAATAACTCTACTCCCACAAAACTTATTCTCAATCATCTATCTTGCAGAAGTTTCATATAATTCTGAAATCCAAAGTCTTCTGACTGTTTTAATTTCAGTATGTGTACACTGGTTCAGGTTGTGCTGATGTCAAACACTGTTATATCATGCATGTCCTTTTTAAATAACATGTGCTGTTGTAAATGTGAACCAAATGCTTGGCATTGTTTTAATTATTCTGAAATAAAATATTATTGTACTCCCTATTGGTGTGGTGAAGAGTCAAGTCATAAACATGCCCTTATAAACCCTACTCAACACACTGGCACAACAGTGAGGCTGATGGCGCCCTCTAGTGCTAACATTTAAGCTTTAAAGGTTGCCGCACATGCGCAAGAGTGCTTCTGTCTCTTGAATGTTTGCTGCCAAAGACAAATGGGTAACTCCTATTAGATGTTAACCAGGTTGTTGTTCTATTCGTTTTGGTGGGCACGACACCGTAATTACTCTTGTAGATGGGTTTAAGCTCAACTTTTTTGCGAGTTGTTTGCATTTCTCTTTGTTTACATGGCGTTAGCTTGTATGCTAAATGCGGCGGTGTGTTGGTAGTTAATCGTGACTAATTCTTGTGCTGCTGATATAATTAACCTCGCATCCATGTGCAGAAAGTGGCTCATGAAGAACTTGTATCTTATCAGTTAGGATGGTGCGCTTTTTATAGCTTTGCATGAGGTTTGTCAACGTTTTGGTAGTATGGTGGGACTTTTAACGCAGCGGCGTAAAACTAACGTTAACTTATGTCGACGCCACACCTGCTTTGAGCTGTTGGACATTTTAATATTCGTTTGTATCATGCGTTAGTTGCAAACATTGAATATTATTGTCCATTTTTTACAGTGGATTTTTACGTTTGAGGTCATCAGCTGAACCACAGATCAATATTTGCTGACAAATATGACGTAAGTCTCTAAATATAAAACTTGAGGCACTGTTTATTTTTTTAACACTCCTAAAGTTATGTCTACATTGTTGTATAAACATGTAACTTAAGCTTATTTATGTAAATTTAATGAAACTATAATACTATATGCATAATCTTCTTTCTTTAAAAAAAAAGAAAACGGAAGGGTTCTGATCCTGAAGATTCTCCTATACTGCAGGACGGTGAGATGAAATTTCATAAATTTTGTCATTTAGTGTTTTGTTTTGTTTAGGAAGATTAACAAACATGTTTGGGTAGGGCTCTTTAGTTTCGATTTAACTGTGACCGATTGCAGTCTGTGTAGCACCATCTAGTGCTAAACCGAGTGTGTGTAAACACATGAACCAAATGGCTTTTGACATCCTGCCAAAAAAAGTACATTTTCATTTATTTCATTGCCACCTTATTAAAAATTTGTCAAATTTCTTTAGTTTGAAACGAGTAAATTCTGGCAATAAGTGGTTAAACTAATGAAAGTTATGTCGTGTTCCAGATGGATTTAGTTAAATATTGAATCAGTTGAATTCTAAATCAGTGTTTTACAAACTGTCAGATGAGACACAACTGCTTGTTCTCCAAGTTATATGCAGTTTAACCAGTAGTAGATTCTTGTGAGGGAACAAACTTGTAACACTTTAAAATACTCTAGATGTGAGCTCATAAAAATAATAAATTAACTTTTTTTTTTTTTTGCAATAGACATAATTCATATGTAATGTAATTTACTGACGGAAAATCCCCTTTTTTATAAATTTAGAAGTAAAAAAATTACTAGTCATCAAATTAAAATCAACTGAAGGATCTGTAAAGTTTAATTGGTACATTTCATAAAGCCTCAAATACTGTTACTGTAAACTTTACTGTGACTAATTGGGGTGATTTGTTCTGCCGCACACTAGATTTACAAAAAGTATATCATACTACACACTTAAGACAAACATTAAACGGCATTAATAGGACTAAAAAACAGCTACTACCTCTTCCCATTAAAATTCAGCAAATCAATCGCACAAG